GCGACAGGCACTTAAAGCACACACAGCATAACAGTAACGCACACACACTTTCTTCACAAAGACACAAGGCAAGTCAGAATTAACCCGTTGCCTGCTGTGGCCCTCAGGGACAGATCAAGGGCCTTTTGTTCTGCACAAAGAATTGGTGTGTGTGTGCGCGTGTGTAAAATGAGGAGGAAGAGGAGGGGAGCAGTGATGAGGAAAAGTGAGGCAGATAGAGCTTGGTTTGGTACAAATGAGCAGCAGCAGAGAGAAGAAGCTGGTGCACTTCTTCATCACTGTAACAGGATCAAATGGGCCAAAGCCAGACCGAGAGCAAGTCCAAGTCTTTGAAACTATATTAACAGAACTAAGTTTTGTTAAACAGATTTTCCTTTTTTGAACACTCACCAGAGTGAATAGCGATGTTGCTCGTTAGTGTGGATGAGGAAAACTGAACTTTTGGAAAGCGACCCAGACGAGGTCGGGGTTGTGTAAAGGTGAACTTAAGAATACAACTCTGTCACCAAGACGCACCATTATCCGATCACTCAGTCCACTTGCTGAGGTGGTTAGGGAAGCATTTAAATTAAAAGTTAAAAGCAATATGACACCCTAAAGTTTATATTAAAACTGATCCGGAAAGTGCAATGGCGCAATAAAGTCATAAAAGGCTTTAAGATTTCAATAAATATCCCCTGTACCAACATTTGCACACATACATCTTTTGCAGTGTAAACACTAATACGCCTGACGGGTCATCAACGCTGAAGTGCCAAAAACTGCTCAAATCCACATAGACCCCAATGTTAAAATACCTAACTTTACAGCAGAAATAAACACCCAAAAACCAGTCATGGTCTCACCTTTTCCCAACAAAGTCCCACCCACTTCAAACCAGTGAGATGAGCACTGTTAAATATGGAAATACAAAACCTCTAAAGTGAAATAAGATGTTTTGTCCATGAAGGTTGCCTTCTTGCCGTTGTGCACAATTTAAAATTTTAACTTAAAACATCATTTGTTATATGAATGAAACTGAAAACGTAACGGCAACCCGGGAAAGACTCAGCGAGACATTTCTCCATTCTCAGAAGAGATGGACAGTGTAGCGCTGCAACATCGTTTAATTGAAGGTATGAAATTTAGGATTCAGTTATACTTCAGTATTGTCATTTGTATTTTTATTTGGTATTGAATAAGTAGCATTTTGATAAAGGTTTGGTGTGTTTTATGCAGGTTTGTAATCAAGAGGGGTAAAACAAAAACGAATATCCGAATACCAATGCTGACAACCAAAATACATAAACAAAGAACAAATAATCATATATTTGAATATTCTGAGAGGCCCAAACAGTGGACAAATGTAACATTTCGAAACCAAGAAATGTAAAGATTCTAACCACAATGAGATGAACTATGCGACTTAAAAAAACGACTAACTAGACTGATGCTGCTTCCAGTAACTGGATACATGAGAGAAGACATTTTAACTATGATATGATGGATGATTATCAGTGTTAATGATAGGACTGTCAACCAAAGCATCGATTGTTGGAAGAGTTCAAATGGGGCATTCTCCATCACTGGAGACTTTGCAGTTGAGAAAAGCTGATTGTAGACAAACCACCATGAATGTGTCAGTGAAGTTCATTTTGCGTTGTTGTGGTTCAGCTCGGTCACCGCATCACCGAGAAAATCCAATAAGGCAGAGCCATACTTGGGGGGTAGACGGTCTGGCCTCTTTAAAAAAATTAAAATCTTTAAAAGAGTGCAGCAGAAACAGCACATGGTGAACCAGCTTTGTATTTCGTCACATATCAGACTCGTCCACATAACCACTGAACAAACACTACATCTGTGTGTGGTGCTGAGTACAATAAAAAAAAGGAGCACTAATGCATCCATTTTGAGGTGTGTGTGTGTGTGTGTGTGTATGTGTGTGTGTGTGTGTGGACGTCTTTGTCTGGAGCACTGCGGCCCAGGAGGAAGGAGGGGGAGCTGCTATGGGTGTCGGGGTTGGGGGTAATGAGTGAGTGTGATCAGGCCTCAGTAGTCTGCATGCCATTAGCACCACCCCACCACCTCGGCTCTGTGATCACACACACAAGACAGAGATGGGCTCATAGGCTGGATCGGGGGGGGACGGGGCAGGCACCACATGCTGACAAGATACTACTGAAATAACCCCACCCACACACACTTCCTTGAATCGAGCAGAGCAGAATAAATATTATATAATATAACATTTAATATTGATTAAATGTACTCGACACATTGAAATAAACGCTGCAGACAAATTAAAAAGTCCTCATCCAAATACTAAAGGTCCTGATTGAAAACTATTGAAATGATCAGCTTCAATTATTGATGCAATATGATTAATTAAACTGGAAATTGATGCAACTCGGATCATGGATGTATAAAGAGAACTGTATACAGCAATGAATGATGCTGGGAGAATATTATGGGATGTGGGGGTTAAATCAAGGAGTGATTTTTGTTGATGAAAAAAAAAAAAACATATTTTATTTTGCTAATTCAATGGTCAATAGAGAGCCGCTCAGACGCTTCTCAGCGTAAAGAGAGACGGCAGGTAAGAACAGCGTGTAGAGGCAGATATTTTCACATCCAACTCAAAGTAAGGAACATGACCGGAGCAGCAGGCTGCTGTGAAGCTGCTGGGGAGCAACTTGGGTTGATTGTCTCACTTAAGATGCCGACAGGACGAGTCAGAGGTTGAACCCTGAACCAGGACGTCCCCGTCTACCTACTGAACCAAATACCCTATTGGTTGGCTGCATATTTCTCTTCATACGTGCCAAAATCATCTAGGAAACTTTAGTTGCTAGCAACGCACAGCCAACAGTGCTAACACCAGGAGCTGGCTGCACCCTACTGCTGAAGGGGTTCTGCAAAAGGACATGACGGCAACAGAGTCGGGAAAACAGCTGGACATTTGGACACACTTTAAATATTACCCCACGGAGAGAACTAGTGTGTAGTAACGTTATTATCAGGACAGAAACCCTGCAGCTAGGACTAAAACAGCACTGACTTAAAGCAACACCAGGTGTTGATCGTCTGCTGTTGTGGACCACTGTCTTTACAGTAGGCGTCTATTGTAAAGACAGTATGTTCCATTCATCCAGGCCGTCATTTGTTGAATTGTGTTGGTTCAAAATAAATATGCAAATAGAACCTGTTTTATGTCTGGATGTTTTGTTCAGACCAGATCATTCTCATTTTTGACCAGAAATGTTAACAACCTTTTTGACAGCTTATCCTTTTGATGGCTAAAATTTTGAGTCGACTAAAACTAGACTAATACGTTGGATTAAGATGAGATCAAAGTGTCCAGAGTCGACAGACACTCAGCCTATTAAAAAATGATGAGGTTGACGTGTGGAATCAAAATCTATCAGTAGTTGTAATTACTTTTTAAATAGCCATTTTCCTATGCATATTGACTTACATAAAAAATATTACGACTACAATTTAATACCATTTTTGGAATGAACAAGCTGGAGCCTTACACACCAGTGATGGTCTTACTTTAACACCAGAAGCAGGCCGTGGTGCAGTTTACAGCATAAAAGCTGAAGAGGTGCTTTGGGGCTTTTTTATGTGGAACACAATGGAGACGAGGTTCATAAAAGGCAGCGAGCCACATCGTACCTGCTCCCACACCGGAGGAAACAAAAGAGAGGAGCTGAGAGGAGCAGAAAGGAGCTGAGGGGAGCAGAAAGGAGCTGAGGGGAGCAGAGAGGAGCAGAGGGGAGCTGAGACGAGCTGAGGGGACCTGAGGGGAGCAGAGAAGAGCTGAGGGGAGCAGAGGGGAGCAGAGAGGAGCAGAGAGGAGCAGAGGGGAGCTGAGAAGAGCTGAGGGGAGCAGAGGGGAGCAGAGGGGAGCAGAGAAGAGCAGAGGGGAGCAGAGGGGAGCAGAGGGGAGCTGAGGGGAGCTGAGGGGAGCTGAGGGGAGCTGAGGGGCTCCGTGGTTTCGTACTCACTTGCATTGCTGTCAGCCAGGGTGTTGAGGTTTCCTGAGATGTCCCGCCTCCTGAACAGACACACCACCTTCGCCTCCACGTTCCCATTGGCTGTCTGGAAGTGGAGAGTCAGCAGTTACAAGTTGGCTTCCTAACAGAGCGCTGGTGTAGCTACCTCTGTTAGAGCAGCCATGTTGGTTTCATTCACTCGTCATGCTAAGGGTTAGTCAGAGGTACGAACTAGGGCTCCGCATCATTTTCATTTGATTCAGTTCTGCTTTTCATTAATTCTTGACTTATTATTTGAGCGGGCCAAAAATAAATTGCAAACAGAAAGCACTTTAATTCATCAGCAGCTGTGGGCGGCCACAGGCCTTCATCATATCTATAGCAAGCACTCCAGAATCACAATCAACAGTGGCTCCAGCTCTCTGTGTTCTCATCTGCAGATCTAGTTTGTTGTTTGTCTAAAAGATGACTCACGTTTCTGTTGCTTTGTCCATTATTTCAGTTACGGTCATTTTGTTAAGTCATTTCCGAGATCTGGGAACACGGCAACACCGCTACAACTATTTACAAAACTATTTTTCGCAACACTGCATGTCACTAGATCTCAACTATTAACTCAGTGAGTACAATAATATTATTACTAATGATGGCCACATGAAAAGAACAAAGTTGTTACAAACTGGAATTACACTTGAAGTTTCTTAACAGAAACATAAGACTTCATTAACCATCTATTCGTAGGACTCTCAATGTGAAGCAGCAACAGCTTTCTGTGGCCTCCCTCACCAGTATAGTGACTGCTTAGTTTACACACTGGTCTGAACAAAAGAAGCTATTTCTGTCTGTGCATGGAGGAGAATATAGGGATGTAACAAGCCATCCATCTGGATCGATGAATCGATTCAACGATCAACTATCCAATATCATTGAGTGAGAAGTCGATCCATAATAATCTTTAAGATACCTTTATTCTTAAATTCTCATGGCACGTCTGTATCCTTCCTAAGCATTCAAACAGTGCTAGCGGCCTAAATCCAGGCTGATGATGGCCAGCAGCCAAGAAAAAGACAATGAGAATATTTACTCCACTCTCTGGAAAAAAACAGCAGCAGGGCAGTTTGACTCCCTGCTGGGCCAAAGCATTTGGGAATTTTTAAGATGTATTTTTACTGACCTTTAAGGCTATTCTCATTTTAGTGACAAGTTGCTCACCAGGTTTGACCTCCAGCTACAGGAGGGCTATTCTTTAGCTAAAGAATAGATTGTTTTTCATTTTGATTTCTCGGAGAGGCCTGTGATTGTATTTTAGTTGTTTTTTAAGAGATGATATAAATGTAACAGATTGTGTTAAAAGGGCATATGATATTGTCTCATATCATTCGCAGGCCCTTGAACTGAATCAAAAATGTATCGTGGCAGATTTTGTGATATCAGCAAATATCACATCATAGTCGAAAGTGTCAATATAGTATTGTAATCTAATACATTTGGTGATTTACACGCCCTACTAGCCAGCCATGAGCCAGAAAAACGGCACAAAGGAACATGATTGCCGTTTTGTTAGTAATATTGTTTTTTCATAGCAAATGGGCTACCACTGCATTTTTGTTGTGCAACCCTGTAACGCACAATGACAATAAATGATCCTTAAATACTTATGAAGGCAATAAAATAATAACACGGTGCCTCCTTAGTCTGAACCAAGACGGCAAACTCTTCATTTCCTCCAATTGGCAACTGCAGCGCATTACAGCTACACTCTTTCACAATAAAAGCTCAGACGGTTGTTTATGCTTTGGACAGTAGTCAGGCTGCTAGTGGTAGCCATGTTGCTAACTGTGTTAGCGATCCGGTTGTCTTTATGACAGCGGCAACAACAATGAAACCAGTCCAGCTGGTGAATACTAAACATTGAAGTAAACTCGATGCAGACCACATGAATGTCCAGCTGGTGATTGTCAAACTAACTTCAGCCTGCTGTTTGAGTGTTTGCTCTCTCTTCCTCACACAGGTGAGTTCAGTGCGTAGGTGACAGAGTATGTGGCCCCTCTGCTCTGTTCTCTGAACGCTATCAAACCACTTCCACAATGCCCAAGTCGTTCCTTTTAGCAGACCAATTCCTCCACAGTTCTCCACAGATTTGAAATCACATTAAGATGTATACTGGTATCATCATAAATACTATGATATGTCAGCCCTCTGGTAGTAGTACTTCATACTCCCTGGATTGACTGATCAGAAGAGCAGAGAAAGCATCAGCAGCACACACTGCGTGCTTCCCTCCACAATCCAGCCTGGAGCTGCTTTTCCCTCTCCCTCCCTCTCCCTCTCCCTGTCCATTCATTGTGCTCAGCAGCCATTAGCACTCAGGACGATGCAGTCCTCCTGCTGCTCAGCACAAGCCCTTCAATACAAGAGTGTTACATAAATGAGCTTAATCCTTTGACTGGGAAACAAGCCTGTGTCATATGCTGCTGCTGCTCTTATACAAGTGGCTCCTGTACCGGTGTCCTGTGATTACAGTAACTACGGTTTACCATGAGCAACGTCCAGGAAAGACCAGGGGACATATTGTGTGTGAGTGTATGTGTCAGTGAGAGTACAGTATGTTGAATGAAATGATACCAGTCGATCAGAAGGTTCTGTGTCTAATCTATGGAATACGAGCTATGAAACACAGCCTGGTTGGAGTACGATAGGACAACACTGCCAGGTATTCTATAGGGTTGGGTACCGAAGTCACAGTGAGTGAGGCTCGGGTCACACTGCTTCCCTCTATCCGAGTGTGACGGCTAACTTGCTGAACTGCAGCCCTGTCTTGTTTAGAATTAACCTTTGATAATGGCCCACTTAACTTAACTTATTAACATAAAATAATTATAGAACTCCACTAATTTATTGAGCCGTGCAAGTCACAGCATTTTCCACAACAAGGTCCTGCAAACAATAAAAGCCTTGTGTTAACAGATTAGGGGATTCTGTTCATAGAAACAAACGCTTTTAATTTGGAATGGAAACAGGAAGTGTTGACTTAAGATATTTTACAGATATAAACATTGAAACTGTAGTGAAAGGTGCAATGCTGCTTTAAATAAATAAATAAATGTTCTAAATATAGAACAATATTGAAATTGAGAAAGTTTGGACCTATTAAATAAATAAAATTATGACTTTTGTTAGAGTTAGGTACGGAACTATCGCTGATGCCCAATCCTAGTATTACAGAAACAACTGTAAAATGGAAACATATGAGAGAAACAACCAACCTTGTTGAGCTCTTCTATTCTACGGATCAGGTAAGGGTTGCTGGAGGAGTTCTCAAAGTACACGTAATCTGAAAGAAACAGAGAAAAAACATTAGACTCACGTAGTGTTCACAGGGAAACATTCACAGAAATGCATGAATGCACATAATAAAATAAATACTAAGTATAGTAAATATTCCGTATTGTAAAATTGTCCGCTGATAGTTCAGGTGTCCTCTGGACAGACACCAACACAGCTCTGTGGCTGTACTGGCAGCACTGAGACCAGTTTGGCTAACCTGAATGATAGGAACCCATTCAAGCGACACACCACTCTAATTGGAGGCCTGTCCGTACAACAGTGAGAAGCTGTTAGGTGAACCAGAGCCTGCCAGCTCAGTGAGTGGACTGGTGTAATAGGAGCTTAAGGAAACTTGTCTATCCAGCCTGCAGACTGACTTCATGTGAATTTAATTATACTAGAAGGGCTCTCTGAGAGGGCAGACCATCCGCTCCAAAAGTTCACCAGTTCTTCCTTGGCCCGTAACACTAAGTTTCATGACAGTCAGGCCTGTAGTTTTTCCCAGATGAACCAACAAACCAAACTGAAAGTATGATTTGTATTTTGTTATATTTGTGAATTGGCTTACACTGTGGGCACCTGCAGTTATAAATGTAGGCAATACCAATGATTTATTTGTTCTTTTGTTTGTCTGCATGTTTTGGGGGTAATAATTGTGACTGCCATGTTTGATTTCAAATTTCTCTTTTATCCACAAACAACTTTCCATTCAAATATACTTTTTGGAAGATAAAATTAAAATATTCACATGAAAAAGTCTGGTGAAAGTGCTACACAACGATTGAATCAGACGCTGGTACAACCTCCTCTACTGCCATCCAGTGTGGCCGAGTGTTCAACCAACAGCGCTGTCAGCAGACCAGCACGAGACAGAAACATGAACGAAGCAATACAATGTGAGTTTTGAGACCAACTTCGGTTGAATACGGTGCGCTGAACTGACACTAATTGGGCAGAGCAGTGAATCATTCTTTTCCCATTTTTGTCTGTAGGTAAGGTGTATTGAACAAAATACATCAGTAATAATTAGTGCTGGGCAAGTTAACGCATTAATTTCGCGTTAACGCATTCATTAATTAACGCCGACAATTATTTTATCGCGCGTTAACGCATTTTTTTTTAAATTTATTATTATTTTTATTTTATTTATTGAAAGACAAGAGACAATACATAGACATAACAACAAGAGGATGACAAGAACAGTGGGATAAAAGCCAGCAAACATCCTATAGTCAGTTGTGTATGTATGTATGTATGTATGTATGTATGTATGTGTGTGTCCTTGAGCCTTTTGAGATGCGAAAAAAAAAAATAAAAAAATAATAATAATAATTATTAAAAAACAACAAAAACACAGGTAAGTATTTTTAATTTATTATTATTGTAACAGACTGTCTCATGTTTATCGTTTTGTATTGGAGATATGATGTCCCTTCAGGGTTGCCGTAGAGAAAAGGCGACTTGCGCTTCTGGTCAGGGGGGGCAGAAATAAAGAGAGAAGCTGCACCAGCTGTTGCTCTCCCTGGAGACTACTGGACATCGCTGCGGTAAAGTCAGCAGACACTCAGATCTCCGTGGTCAACTCAGCAGACACTTACATGTTAGTGCACCTGTATGCTGAAATTCACGGTAAACGCATTTAAACAGCACAGATCGGGAGCGAGCGAAGGACTTTGAAAGTTAGTGGAAAGATTAACGTGAGACAACATCCGGTTTCTTCAGACGAACATCCGGTTTTCAGAA